GTCTCTCGCCGTGGCAAAGGTCTCCGGGGTGGAAGGGAGACAAGGTTCCACCACCAGCCTTGGTGGTGAAACAGTCCGCACCGGACTCAACGGCCTCGGTGCCGGAGTCGACGGTGTGGCCGCCTGTCTTTGGCGGTCCAGCTGCGGACGCGGCTCTACCCCCGGCACCGGGGGAGCCTGTATCTTCGCGGCAGCAGCGTCCCGTGTCTTAGCGGTCTTCTTATGGCCCGGCGAAATGGATCGGTGCCGAGGCTCTTTGGGCGGGCGCGGTGCCGACGTCGGTCGGTGCCGGACAGTCTTTTCTGCCGCACCGGTCGGGCCCGCCGGGGCGCTGCGCACCGAAGCGCTCGGTGCCGGGACAGGGCGCGCCGAGGGAGGATCCGGACTCAGCGCCGCCTCCATGAGGAGCTGTCGGAGCCTAAAGTCCCGCTCCTTCCTTGTCCTCGGCTTGAAGGCCTTGCAGATAGGGCACTTATCTGCTGGATGAGTCTCTCCCAGGCACTTCAAGCAGGAGCTATGCGGGTCGCTAGTTGGCATGTGCTTCCCGCAGGACGCGCACGGCTTAAAGCCAGGAGCCTTGGGCATGGGCCCGGCTGCGCGCCGGGGGGAAAAGGGGAAAAACACCCCCTAAACCCCCGATAACAACTTATAACTATATATATATACACTATAACTAACTACTAACTAACTTGAACAACTATCTATATAACTAAATACAACAAGAGCAAAGAGAAGCTAGGGAGTGTGGAGATCAGCTAAGCCGCGCTCCACAGTTCCAACGACCGTCAGGGGCGGTAAGAAGGAACTGAGGGGGCGCTGGGTCGGCTGGGGTATATATCCAGCGCCATAACGGCGCCACTCTAGGGGGCTCCACAGCCGACCCACCGGGTGTTGCTAGGGTAAAAATCTTCCGACGATCGTGCACGCGGCGCGCACACACCTAACTGGAATGGATATGAGCAAGCACTCGAAGAAGAACTGAAGCCTTCCATGAGCTGTGGCTATAGCTGGTGATTTTCTTGCAAAGTGAAAACATGTAGCCTATTAATGCTTTTGTATGGTATCCTTTTAAATTCTCAATTCTATTTTATCTGCAAGACAGTGTGGTTAGCTCCACTTATGTGTTCGAAGTGGCATTCTATGTGCATCCTAGCTCGGGGGGCACAGAAGGGAATGTTGCCCTGATCCTGCTGAAGCCCAGGTTCCCACCTGGGACAGTGCTAGTGACTGCTGCTACCTCAAGGCAGCAACTGGAGCTTAGGAAGAAGGAGCACCAGCAATGGAAGGGCCTAAATAGAAGCCAGCTATGTTGTGTAGCTGTTTCTAACTCCACTGATGTTCTCTGGCTTTTAGGTTTAGCCCTCTCCCACCAGTGGGTGATCTCCTTTACTTCTTTCCACACTCCCATATCACAGGAGCAGCCCTGCAGTGGGAGGATCAAGATGAATGCATCCCTCCTTTACATACCATCTTCACTAGGGCTTTTAGCCTCATAATTCTAAGCATTATAAGACTGGTTTAAAATGTCACTGGATTGGCTTGGTTTTTTTAAGATTGATGAAGAGAGGTAAATAGTAGTATCCCCCAGGAGTCTGCACTGGCTGGGATGAGTGTTGTTCAACCTATTCATAAAGGATCTGGAAAAGGGTAGATACTGATGTGGCAAAATTACTCAGGATAGTTAGTACAAAGTATACTGGGAAGAGTTAGAAAGGGATCTCACTAAACTGGGTGACTGGGCAACAAAAGGGCAGATGAAATTCAATATTGATAAAGCAAAGTAATGCACAGTGGAAGTCATAATCCCAACTACAGTATACATACAAAATGTTGGCGTGGAATTAGCTGTTACCACTCAAGAAAGAGATCTTGGAGTCTCTGTGGATAAGTTACAGAGAATCCACCATTTACCCTAGTTTAAACCTTCAAGTGACCCAGGCCCCATGCTGCAGAAAGTGAAAACCCCCAGTCTTTCTGCCAATTTGAGCCAAGGGAAAATTCCTCCCTGACCCGAAATATGGTGATCAGTTAAACCCTAAGCATCTGGGCAAGACCAACCAGCCAGACCCCTGGGAAAGAATTCTCTGTAGTAACTCAGAGCCCTCCCCATCTAGTGTTCCATCACTGGCTGTTGGAGATCAGCTACATGCCGTTGTAGGCAGTCTCCTCATACCGTCCCCTCCATAAACTTACCGAGTTCAGTCTTGAAGCCATATAATTTTTTTGCTCTCACTGTTCCCCTTGGAAGACTGTTTTTAAAGACAGTGCAGGATACACCAGTCAAAACTGGTAGCCCCAGGGCTGATCTACCCCCTGTTTCTGTAACACTTGATATATGTTCAGAAACTGACTGTTAAGGCAGTACAACCCCCCCCTGTGGACACAATTCTATCATTATAAAGTGCCTTTATACCAGTAACAGAAATAAGCTATCCTGCTATAGACATCTTATATTGATAAAATTGTACCCAGAGGAGGGGGCTGTACTGCTTTAACTGCCAGCTTCTAAACATATACAAAGTACTACAAAAAAAACATGTGCCCATCCCCAGGGCTGACCTAATGGAGGTAGTCTACAGCTTGATTGAACTGTTTTGACTATAGATTCTACCATATTATAAAAACAGTGTAGACAAGCCCCTCGCAGGGGGAATAGATACCCATCTACCCTTCACTTGAGAGAAGACCAGCAGCTTAATACCATCTACTCCCATGTACATGCCCACTGAGACAGACAGACTCCAGCATGTGGCTTTACGGCAGCTTCAGAAAACAATTGGAGAAGTAACTTATTTCAGAGGTGATGGGAGGGTTCCTGTGTGTGACACGCTTCAAGGTTCTCAGATTAAGTGTGGCACTGTGGAAATGCAGTGTTGTTGAGCTTCAGTACATTTCTTCATTTAACCTGTCACACTTCGACATGCCCTTTCTCTAAGCTGTTCTTCTACTCCTTTTCCCCGCTCCTGGTTGCAGGGGAAGGTAGGCAGGCTGAAGAGTAAATCCTGAGAATTACAGAAACATTTGGTAGTAAGGAGGTGGTGCAAAACAGGTTTCACTTGGACAACCCCGTCTACCACCCAAAACCTGGCTGAGCAGTCCCCATGCTTTTAAATAGCTAGTTGTCAGGTATTATCCCCCAAGAAACTGGCCATTAGTTTAATATTTAACATGATTTTAGCATTCGCTCTTTCAGGTGGCTGTACTACATTTTAATATAAGAGGGAAACTTGTGTACAGCTTAGCTGTTCCTTAATACTCCAAGTTCACTGTGGCATGGGGATGGTACTGGACAGCTGTCTGTATCCATTCCTTGTCTTTATACTTAGATTGTAAGCTCCTTGGGGATGGATTCATCTGTTTTTGTATAGCACCTAGCTTCGTGGGGCCCTGGTCCATGACTGGTGCTTCCAGGGCACTCTGGCAATACAAATAGTGGTTCAGCAAGACTGCTGATAGAGATGAAAAGATGAGGAAATCAGAGCAATGAACCAAAGAGCATATCACTAAAACAACATTAACAAAACCATGTAACTTACATTATGCTTATCAGTCAGTTTCATCTTCACCTTGTCATGTTCTCCTTTCATTACAACTGTCCTCTGCACTGGCTTCCCATAGAATTTCAAAGCAAGTTCAAGATCTCGGTCCTTATCCTCAAAGTGCTTCATAGCCTGCACCCACAATATACAAGACCACTGAAAGCTCTGGGACAAAGATCTTGGACAACTATGCTCTTGTAGCACAACAAAATTCTCTACATTAAGACTAAACCTTGTCTGTGTGGGTGACAGAACTTTCTCAGAGGGTGGCCCAACACCCTGGAATAAATTCCCTGCGAAGCATCATCACAAACCTTTCTGCTCACATGCAAAGTGCATTTCTTTGCCTTAATCTTCTCTGAAGCACATAAGATTTTTTAAAAACAAAAACATCCCATCAGAACAAGATATTACTGCACATGCTTCTTCCTCTGGGAAAAGGACAAGAGACCAACCAGCCTGCGACCGATGTGTAGTCACATTGCTTAATGCACGATTGGTAGGTGCTGAGAGAATACAGTGGTGAGTGTGGTTTAAAAACCTATATAGAATGGAATGTATTTAGGTGAAATGTTTGGATTGTGTAGGGTTGTTTACATTTCCCTTTTAGTACTGTAATGAACTATGAATTACCAGTACCACCACAGCTGGATGGTTTTATAAATAATAAAATAGCTGAGCTCCTCTCCACCCAATTCATTAAGAAACTTAACATGATCAGCTATTAATAATGATCATGACTAAGGCTGTGATTCTTACACAAGGTCGCAGATGGCACGGATTCCATGACTTTCCGTGACTGCTGGTGCAGCTGACTTCAAGGCCACCCGAGCAGCTGGCCCCAGCCACACTGGCTGCTGCTCAGGAGGCTCTGGGCAACTGGCTACAGGGACCATGTGAGCAGCGGCTGGTCCCGGGGACCACCCAAGCAACAGTTCTGGGGGGGGCCCCAGGTAGTCCCAGAGGCTGCCCCGGGGCCAGCCGCACTGGCCACTGCTTGGGCGGCCCCAAGCAGCTGGTTCCAGGGACCGCCGGAACAGTGGCCAGTGTGACTGGCTCTGAGGAGTGCCCTGGTGACCGCCCGAGCAGCAGCAGACTCAGGGCGGCTGGAGCAGCAGCCCCAGGGGCACCTGGAGGGTGTTTGGAGAGTGGCAGCTGGGGGGCAGTCAACCCCCAGCACTGGAGCACTCCCTCCCCTCTCCCCCCAGCCAGGTCCCCCCCCCCTGAAAATCAAGGCCCCAGAAGTAGAGATTTAGCCAGGGGTATTTTTGAGAAAAGTCATGGAAAGGTCACGGCCGTGAATTTTTATTTATTGCCCGTGACCTGACCATGACTTTCACCAAAAATACCCCTGACTAAATTTTAGCCTTAATCATGAGGATAACTTTAACATAGACCACATTACCAGAACTGGAAAAAAACACTATCTTGTTTAAAGCAATAAGTTAAACACATGAGGTGAATGTTTGGAAAATGTTTTATGAAGTCACTGAATTTGAAAGTGATGAGTCACATTTGATCATATACATTGTTTAAAGTGAACGGAATTTTAGTTTGGAGCCACAGAAGCACTTCTCCCCATCCCAGACAGGAGCAGACTGCCACTGTGCTTATTTTTAAATTCGGTCAAGAACCATAACTGAAGCTTATTTTCATAGGACTAAAGGGTCAATCTGGAAAATGAAGAAGAGAGGCACTGAAAGGGCATTCTATAATGCTAATTTACCATATCTCCGCCCATAAAGCTCTGCTCTTCATAACGGTCATATGAAAGAAGTCCTTTCTTCCTAATTTAGGCACTGATTAGATTCTAAATGAACAGCAAATGACCACATGGAATTTGAAGGAAAAAAATCATATGGAAACAAAACACATTAAACTACTTTTTCCATATTTAAATTATTTCTATTAATTATCAATCCAAATAATATTCCGATACACACTGTAGGATTTTTAACAGCAAGATTTTCACGTATACAATAAAGCGGTGTAAAGAATTTCCGGATGCTTCATTTCCCAAACAGCCACACTCCACATCCCGGGTCTTATCTTCACTAGCAGTGACAACTTGGTTGAGCAGGTGACGGAACCATGGCTTTGTTCTTAGTGTCTACTAGTTGTGGGTAAACCCTATCTTTGACACATCTTGCCCATGTGTACTCTGACTACACAGGAAGGTTTGGTTCATGTGCATCAAAACCTGACAAGTTCAGTTGAATGACTTTAGGAAGGGCTCTCCAGGTAGCCAAACCTATTATATTTTAGTGTCTGATACAAGCTTTAGGATTTCATTTCATCGTAAAGGATGTGATGCCTACAGAGAGAGCGTCTCCACACAGCAGTCCTAGAAGAAATTAATGCCATTGTTGTGCAAGCATCAGAAGGCTCAGGGGAGAAGCGATCCAACCTGTCTGTCCCTGCAAGTACTCCTTCCATGACAGTTCCTTAACTGGGAGTGAATTATGTGCTGGTTTCTCTTCAGCTCATATAAATCTTTCATTTTTTACTGGAACAATTTTTTTGTTAAAAAAAAAAAAGGGGGGGGGGCCACACTTAAAATGGACTCCTGAAAACATACTATTTCCATCAGATATAGAGCACCATACACAGAGCAATTTTTCACATATGTAAAAGTTTAAGTGTCATTTTCTGAGTGCTAACTTACTGTGTGTTAAGGGACAGACTTTATATACAAGTACTGATGGGCCAAGACCAATAGTCATTCATGGTGCGATAATCCACTAATTTAAATCTTTTCTAGCACCATATCCTACTATAAAGTGCTACGGTCCACTAAGATTTGTTAGTAATAATAACCAACAACAATGTTCATAGTAATAGTGCAATCATTTCTGCAAAGATGTTCAAATGCAGTCATTTAACTCCAATCATCATGTTGTCCTTTTCTCGCTCTTTTAGTGTTCATTTCCAGTTCACATTCAAATCTGTTTTTAAAAAGTCTCTCCTGGAGAAGGCACTTCATATGGTGAAGTGCAGTAGAAACCATTAAAAAACCTCACTCAAGGTTACACAACGTTCTCAAGAAGTCAAGACTCCCACAACTTGGTTTGTCGACAGTGACACTATCATCTTTCTAGAGCATCAAGGCAATACCACTGGTACAGGTGCTTCTACCACAATGTAATTAAGTTTTTTCACTTTCAATGGATCTGCTGTCTGACTGAACATTTGTGTTCAGAAGGGCTTGACTTCCTTCTGCGTTGGAAACAACTGACAAGGAGTCCCAGGGATCTTCCTCAGCACAATTATTCTGCAATTCTTCTAAAACAGGCATTTCAGGATCCTTTAAATACTAAAAAAAAGCAAAAACCAATAATTAGTTATAATTCACTCTGCAGAACAAAAGCTATAACAGACCAACCTCATGCTATATGGTTTAGGAACATGTGTAATTATATGAGGAGCTGATATGCCACCCAAAAATTAAGGTTACCCAACAATTCTCCATTATAAAACCCTATTTTCCGTTGTTTGTAATTTTGCTGTACTTTAATTGTGTCAGCTTCAGGCTGATTATTTGGGCGGGGAGGGGGGGGGGTTTAAAAAAAATTCAGCCATTTCCAAGGAGGAGATTACAGAAAAATACGTTTTGCACGTGTTAAAAATGTTCTTCCAACTGTTCTGTTGAGATGCTCTAGCCCAGAGGTGGGCAAAGTACGGCCCACAGGACTGTCCTGCCTGCCCTTGAGCTCCCGGCCAGGGAGGCTAGCCCCCGGCCCCTCCCCCGCAGCCACGCCACCATGCGGGCAGCGCTCTGGGCAGCGGGGTTGTGCGCTCCTGCCAAGCAGCACGGCAGCGTGTCTGGCTCCGGCTGGGCGGCGCGGCTGTCAGACATGCTGCTCTGAGCAGCATGGTAAGGGGGCCGGGGGGTTGGATAAGGGGCGGGGGGTCCCAGGGGAAAGTCAGGGGACAGGGAGCGGTTGGATGGGGCAGAGTTCTGGGGGGTGGGGAACGTGTGTGTGTGGGGGGGTGTTGGATAACCGTGGGAATCTCAGGGGGCGGGGGTGTGGATAGGGGTCAGGGGACTGGGACCAGGGGGGTTGGAGTCCCAGGGGGCAGTTAGGGGTCAGGGGTGTGGATAGGGGATGGGGCAGTCAGGGGACTGGGAGCAGCGGGGGTTGGATAGGGGGTGGGGTCCCGGGGGGCAGTTGGTCCTGGTAGGGGGTGGTTAGGGGACAAGGAGTGAGGGGGGTTGGATGGGTTGGGGGTTCTGAGGAGGCAGTAAGGGGGCGGGAAGTGGGAGGGGTCAGATAGGGGGCGGGGACCAGGCTGTTTGGGGAGGCACAGCCTTCACTACCAGGCTCTCCATACAGTTTTGCAACCCCAATGTGGCCCTCGGGCCAAAAAGTTTGCCCGCCCCTGCTCTAGCCCTTCTGCGCTTTGGAGCAGGGACCTGAAATTTGGCCTGGAGGGAGGGGTTGCCTTGGTGCCAGGGATGTGCCTTTTGCAATCCCCATGAAAATTCACCCAAATTTGGCCAAGATATAAGCCTCTGAAAAACTGTTTGTGCGTGCTCAGTAGAGGCTTGTTAGAGTTTGGCAGCTAAATTCTCTGATGATTCCATCTACACAGAGCATGTTTCATCCCAAGGGCTGCAGGGGCTCTGCAGGACTTTCCCAGCAACGGCTTCTCCTAGCTTTTGCTGTGGCACTGAGCACCAGAATAGCAGGGATGTTGTGTCTCAGTGTTCCTCCTGCTGGCACCCAGGCAGCATGGAGAAGGACGAAGCAAACACTGGAATGCAGATGGATGAGGAATCAAGGGGAAGGGAGAAAGGGAGCTAGAGACAGGGAGTGGCAGGTGAGCTGAAGCTATAGGGAAAGAAGGACCTAATCATTAGACTACAGAATCCGGAATTAAACAGGATTCCCAAATATCTACATTCCCCTGCTGTCAGAAGATTTCTGCGAAACCCACTGGCAAAATGTGTGGCTCATCCCCCTCTAAAGACCGGCTCACAGAGAGGATAACAGTTCAAGTGATAAAGTTCTGTGCTGTGGCTCTAAAGGTCTGAACCCTGCTGATGACCCAGGTGGGAGTAAATTGCTTCCACACGATGGGATTATTTTTCCTCATTTTTTAAAAAGATTAGGAAAATTACATTAAAATACTACATTAAAAGAACATTAGGGTGCCTTTGAAGTCAAGCACTCAGCAGTTAGGAAATCCCAGGATGAAGGTTGCCTGTAACCTTAATTCAGCCTTTCTGTACGTACGCGTTATGATACAATATTTAATTACATGATCACATGCTATGTTTTCCACCCCGTCCCTTCCCCATTCGGTGCACAGGATGGCCCTGCTCTGGGAATGAATCAAGGTTGTGTAGTGCATGAGACTATTGTTTATAGGACCTGTGCCTTGTTTGTAGCAGAAGTTGGAGGGTGTGTGGTGAATGAAGCAGGGGATTTCATGAAGAGAAAGGATGGTCTTCTGTCCTGGTTAGGGATGTTGAACAACATCCTGGAGAACTAGATTCTTTTCCTGCCTCTGCCACAGAGTTCCTATGTGAAACTGGACAAGTCAGGTAATCCAAAAATTTCACAGGTGGCCACTGTGATCTTGTCTATACTTACAGTGCCACTGTAGCGCTTAGTGAAAATGCTACCTACGCCAACAGGACAGTGGAGATACACCACACCCCCCCCCCCCCAAGAAGTGATAGCTACGTTGATGGGAGAAGCCCTCCAGTTCATAGTACTGTCTATTCTGGGGTCAGGTCGGTATAACTATGTCGCTTGGCAGAGGTGACATGTGTGTGTTGGGGGGGGGGGCACATGGGGTCACATGCCCCCTCCAGATTTCTGCTAGGGTTTATATATATATTTTTAAAACAGGAGTGGGTTCAAAATATTGCCTCTGTTGCTTGGGGATGCGGATTTTCCATACCCTTGTATGATGCAATTTACTCCTGAGGGCATTCTGTACCAAAAAATTAAAAATTCTGCTCACAATATTTTCAAATTCTTCAAAATGTTATTTGTCAAATAAATGTGGAGGCTCCATCATGGCATTGGGGAGCACAGGCCACTGGCTGCACAGAGGTGGGAGATCACTGTGCAGCTTCCTCCCCGGCTACACTAACTCAGTGGTGTGAGGCTGCACCCAACCCTGACACAGCACAAGGATCAGGCCTGCCCCAGAAACACCCCAGGGCCCTGCCCCTCCGTGCCAGGCACAGCGGGGTGGGCGGGCAGGCAGGCTCAGTAAGGCAGGATCCAAGTGTGGAGGGGCTTAGTGCGGGGGGATCCAAGTGTGGATTGGGAGGGTTCTGTGGGGGGCAATCTGGGTGCAGGTGGCTCAGTGGGGGATCCAGGAGTGGGGGGTTCTGGATGCACAGGGGCTTGTTGGGGGGTTCCAGGTGCAATGGTAATAGGACTCTGCAGGGGGGGGGGTCCCGGTGAAGGTGGTTGGAGCTCAGTGTGGGAGGTCTGGGTGTGGGAGGGCTCAGTGGTGCGGTCCAGGGGGAGTGGGGCTCGGGTGGGGGGCTCTGGGTGTGCGGGGGGCTGAAGCTCGGTGGGAGGATCTGGGTCTCGATGCACAGGGGTTGGGCAGATGGGGGAGCAGTTCCCCGTACAGTGTTCCCTCCCCCTAGAGCTGAGGAGCAATGGGTGCCGGAAGTGGGGGGGAAGGGTGGTGTGTGGAAGAGTTTGCAGAGCTTCCTGGAGCCTGGGGAGAAATCTGGAGGTGGGTCTGACCTGACTTTGGGTGCTGGCTTTGCAGGGAAAAAGGAAGTCCCATCCTCCCCAACTCTGCTGGGACTAGCAGCTGAGCCTGGTGCAGGGTAGGAGCCACCAGCTGGGTCTTCCCCAGTCCCTCCCTCTGCCCCACAGTGATTTACCTCTCTGTTGGCTGCCCTGGGCACCCAAAATGTAACTACTGGGGAGGGTCACTTGAAAGCCACAAGAGCGATCCTTTGCTTCCCCGTCAGAAAGTCATTTTTCTGCAGGGAAGCAAAGAAATGTGTGGGGGATATGAATTCTGTGCATGCGCAGTGGCACAGAATTCCCCCAGGTGTAACAGTTATACCAACGTAAGTTGGTAATGGAGACCAAGCCTCTGTGTTCCAGTTCTGGATGCCTGAAATGAGCCACTTGGCACCAGATGTGCAGAAGCGCTAAGCATTCACACCAGCAATTGGAAGTCAATGGGAGCTGTGCTCTCAACACATAACATGCTATAAAAATACCAAGTTCTCTGAAAAATCAGGCCTCCAGATGTCTTCAGTTAGGCACCCAAAATTAGTGGATACTTGGTAATTTTGGCCTTACTCTCTCTGTACCTCAGCTCTCCAGCCATAAAATGGGGATATTACCCACTCATCTCAGGCGTGTTGTGAAGATAAATTCATTGACATTTGTGAAGCACTAAAGATGGTATGGGGAAAGCAGAGTTTGAAGGGTGTGCAGTAAATGAAGTGTGTAGGGCCACACACAGAATGAGGGGGATAAAAAGAAATATTGAATAACCCACTCATTGAATGAGACAGAGATTCTGTGGAAAAAGTCATGTTTGATCATGTAATTAAAGACTATAATCAGAATGCATACATACATGGGAGTTTAATTCAAGTTGCAGCAGCAACCTTATTTCGGTAGTTCCCAAATTCTAAGTGCTTGACTTTGCAATATTAATAATGTTTCTTGCAATGTAGATTATTTTTTTATGCAAACAAATCCCCACAAACTAAAGAGCAAACCCTGCAGTCCTTAGTCACTGACTTTCCACTGAAGTCACTAAGAATTTTTCCTGAATTAGGACTGCAGAATTTGGCCTTCAAGTATTTTCGTGTTAGAATCATTCCTATTTTTGATGACAGGAATAACTCTGAGAAGTTAATCTGATATACGATTAATCATTTTTAAATGACCACAAATGTCCCAATGTACTTTTCTGTTAAATTTACTGGGATTCTGTTGCTTACTGGAAGACAGCAGAAAAAACCTGCAGCATCTTTCATTTCATACTGAACTGGGGAATTTCCATTCTATTTCTTATCATCTGTTGATATCAGCTGAGAAAACTTGGCAAGACAAAATGAAAGTAAATTTAGTAGGGATTTTCCAGCCTCTAACTACTTCATAATTTTAGCCACATATGCATCACGGGGGGGGGGGGGGGGAGAGATAGCTCAGTGGTTTGAGCATTGGCCTGCTAAACCCAGGGTTGTGAGTTCAATCCTTGAGGGGGCCACTTGGGGATCTGGGGCAAAATCAGTACTTGGTCCTGCTAGTGAAGGCAGGGGGCTGGACTCGATGACCTTTCAAGGTCCCTTCCAGTTCTAGGAGATGGGATATCTCCATTAATTTCAAATTTCAAAATTCTGTAGTTTCTTACCACTTTATCTACCCAGAGTAGAAATTTCTCCATGTTAAAATATCACTTTAATATAGAAGCATCTGAACTTACTTTCACTCTACCTACATAGTTAACATACATTTCACAACTGTACTGTGTTTACAGTATCTATATGGAGCAATTTTTAGTGTTATAATTTGGAGAGGGTGATCTTAAAAGTTGGCTCTATTTAGAGGTCACATTATAAAAACCAAAGCTACTATCAATAGTCCTTTCAAAAATGCGTCCATCACACACAACTTGAGGCTGCATAATCACACGTACACAGTAATCTGACTCTATACTTATGAGCATAGATGCACACCTGTGACTCATTTGATAGAAACACAGTACTAGTGCAATGTTGAAATAAATGCAAAGAGCTTTTAAAAAAAAAAAAACTAAATCAAAGGTCAAATAGGTATTTAAACTAACAGTACAGCAAACTAACGTGTTTTTTTCCTAACTTGATTAGCTCAGACTTGACTGTTAAGTCATTTTCCGCAAAACACAGTGTTCTAATTGGTTTAAAAGGTTTCCTTTATGACAACCAGTTTCATCAATACACAGCATTAAATGTTTTAAAAGCCTATTTCCCATCTTAGAGACACTTGTCATGAAACAACTTTCAAACATGACCTACTCCAACTATCTTTTAAAAGCAAAAAACACACCACAAATTAACCATTTGATAGCCTGTCACCTACAAACAGAGCTCTGACATTACCAACAATATTTAAGTGGTACAGCTCTAAGTTGGAAACTTTTAGTTGCTGAATTAGTCAAAGTATCCAATGATGCATTATATTGATGAAGAATGTAAGTCAATAGAGTACATTATACGTTGATTAATCACAGCATTCTATTAGCTAGAGTTATCTAATTTCACAGGTAGGTGTTCAACTTGGCTGACATCTCAAATGTTAAGACTGGATGGTCAAGTACAGGAACTGGGCTGTAATATACCTACTATATTTTATACACAGTATAAAGCACTATAGAATTGCCATCAGGCTGCATGTCTGCCACCAGAAATTCACTTCTGGATGTGGAGCAAACAAAAGTTTCATGCACTTTACATCAGTGGTATAGCTAGGACAGGAAAACTGGCTGGGTCCTAGCTTTTGGGCACGTGGGCAGGCAATGCCCGGGCAGGGGGTGGAGGAGCAGGAAGGATGGGGGGCCCTGCAGAGGGGGGGCAGGAGGGATGGGGGGCCCACCTCCCCATCACCCCTTACCACTTAGCAGGCACCTGGGGCACACAGGCTGCAGGGCACACCCATGGGGCAAAGGGGGGGCCCCACCGGGGCTCAAGCTCCATCCACCCCTCCCAACCCTGGGTTGGTGTCTGTCAGAAGGGCTGCGTCCCCTACCTGCTGGCGACGCACACTGCTGCCCGGGTCTCGGCCCCAGCACTAGCCCCCCCACCCGGGCCCCCCCCGCTCCCCCCCCCCCCCCCCCCCCCCGCAGGGCTAGCACTGGGACCGTAGACCAGGGCAGCAGTGCGTGGCGCCGGCAGGAGAGGGATGCAGTCGGACACCGATCTGGGATCGGGAGTCCCAACCTGTGGATTCGGGGGGCTCCGTGGATGGGCCTGGAAGCTAAGTGGGCTGGCTGCGGCCCACTCAGGCCCATCCATGGCTACACCTCTGCTTTGCACTGATTAATTAATTAGATCTGAGAAAGGTCTTTTTTCCCTTAGAAATCTGATCTTGTGTCTTTGAATACATTTCAGTGGGAACAGAGGACGCTCAGCACCTCAAGACAGCTGAACACAAAAATTTTATTGTTGAGGAGTTATTGCAGGGCTAGTAAGAAAGCCTAGAAGCCAAAAACTTTCATAATGTTACAAGCTACAACATGGCATAGCATTTTAGTTGGCTTCTATATTAACATAGTTTTAATTATAGATACAGGTGACAGGGCAGGGACAAGGAACAATTTGAAGTTATTTTATCATGACACTTATCTCTGGCATTAATCGGATTCAAATTATTTTTTACAGGTAGATTTTAAAGACAGAGCAAATAAGTACATTTTAATGAATTCAAGAAATAATCAGTTTGTGATTTTTTTTGCTACACCTAAGGAGTGGGACAATATCAAATCTGTTTCCTGTAACTCACATGCTGAAAGCCTGGAATTTGCTCTAAAGGAGGAACTGTGACACTTTCTGAAATGCTAAAAAAAATACATATGAAACAGAAGCCACTGCCATATATTAACTATGGTAACTTGTTCTAATGACAATCTTTTCACATATCCATAGCTGTAAGACAGGTGTGGGCAAACTTTTTGGCCCGAGGGCAACATCTGGGTATGGAAATTGTATGGTGGGCCATGAATGCTCACAAAATTGGGGGTTGGGGTGCGGCACGGGATTAGGGCTCCAGCGGGGTGTGCGGCCTCTGGGCTGGGACCGAGGGGTTTGAAGGATGCGAGGGGGATCAGGGCTGGGGCTGGGGCACGGGAGGGAGTCAGGGGTGCAGGATCCGGGTGGCACTTACCTCAAGTAGCTCCCAGAAGCAGCAGCATGTCCCCCATCCAGCTCCTATGCGGCGGCACAGCCAGACACCTCTGTGCGCTGCCCCATCTGTAGGCACCACCCCTGCAGCTCCCATTGGCCGCAGTTTCCGGCCAATGGGAGCTGCAGGGGCGGCACTTGGGGTGGGGGCAGCGTGCAGAGCCCCCTGGCTGCCCCTATGTGTAGGAGCCAGAGGAGAGACATGTTGCTGCTTCCAGGAGCCGCGCGTAGCGGGGCAAGCCCCTGACCCCGCTCCCTGGCTACAGCAGGGCAAGCCCTGGACCCTGCTCCCTGGCAGGAGCTCAAGGGCCAGATTAAAACGTCTGGAGGGCTGGATGCGGCCCCTGGGCCGTAGTTTGCCCACCCCTGCTGTAAGAAGAAGAAAACCGCTAGGCCAGCTAAGCCCTCTTGGAAAACAAATAATACAGGCAGAATCGTTTCTAAATATGTATCATTATCAGTGTTATTTGCCTGAAAACAGGTTCACTGTTGCTGAAGCATTCGCCTGATTTCTGCTGCTTACTATCCAGTTGAAATCCTAATGACCTCCACGCCAATTGAGGGTTATAAATTTTGATGGAGAGTAAGCATTAGAAAACAGATTAACTCTTACCGTCCTTTCCATAATATACTGTGTATTTTTAAAAAGTGAACATATTTAGGTACTTGTGCCCCCCGCCTATCAGAATAATATCTAATTGCATAAAATTATTAAACTTATCCTCACAAAACCCTTTTGAGGTGGGAAATCATCGTCTTCATTTTACAGATAGGAACTGAGGCAGACACAGATTAAGTGACTTGCTCAAGGTCATGCAGAAAATCTATAGCAGACTTGGAAACTGAACCCAGATCCTGAAGTCCTGATCCAGTTCCTTAATCACAAAAGCACCCTAGCTCAAAGGATTGTTTTTGATAGTAGAAATGTTTCTACGCTGCCCCCACCCCAAGCGCCGCCCATGATGTGGAAGATGTCTCAAGCCATCACTTTTAATTCATGATCAATGGAAAAACATTTCCTGTTTAAAACATAAAAAGAGGAAGATGAACAGAGCTGAAATATTCTTCAGTACAGAGATGCATGACCTGCCAGAAAAAGTCACATGCATCTTTCATCTGTGAATTGCAAGAAACCATAAAAAAAAAAAAAAAAAACCCCCCCCCCCCCCCCCCAAGATCAAACCCCCACACCCAATACCTTCCATCTCCCCAGGCCCTCAGAGATTCTGATATTTGGTCTCCACAATGGCACATGCTCACCTGTAATTCAGTAACTGATCCTTAAAAAGTCTACTTAACCCCCAAAGAAACTACTAATACTGTACCACGTGCAATTTGGTCTCAGTTCTGTAGTGAAGAATTGGTCTGCGTCAACCCTGATTAATCAATATTATTTTTATTTTAAAACAAAAAATTGAGTCTTTTTTCATATTACGACAGTTTCACACAAAGGAACACCACAATATCTGTACTTAAGTACAGAGTGAGCAAGGGATTCCAGCTAAGTAAAATGGCATAAATTGGAGTAACATTACAGCCACACTAAATATGAAAAACAACAAGCTATACTGCATTTATGGAGTTTGGATGTAAACTCAGAAAGGCAAGAGTTTAATATTTTGTAGCTTCTACGTGACCTCAACTAACCTAACCAGTTCATTCCAGTCACACCACCACCTCTTTTGCTAAACAGAAAGATAAAAAATACATACCTCTTCAATATGCAGTGGAATTTGAAAAGGCGGTTGAAACCAATATTTAATGACTTGATGAAATTTCTGAATAAAAAGGAAACAGACAATTGCTAAGATCACCACAGTAACTGTGGCTCCAACAAATATTATTGCTACAAATCCAGCTCTGGTTGCATCTGAAAAGAGAAAAAAAAGTAGCATCACTATGTAATATATATATATATATATATATATATCTTTTTCTTTTTACTCCACTGGTGTCAAGTTTATCAACAAGTCTTGATAACTTTTTAATGTGAAAACTAATCAATTATCTTGGATAATAATTTAAATTGCATCATAATAAGCAGGAGGCTTTTATAGACTTCCTTTGTTTAACACAATGATACAGAAGCTTCACCTATTGTGCATTGCGGTATAACTGCATAACTTATATGTCATGCGTAGCTTCTGCCAGAGGTGGTAAAAGTGTATTTAAGGCACATGTAACTTTTCCTAGAATCAAGGCTTAGACATGACAGTGACGGACACTATCAAAAAACAAGATAAAATGATACTCTCCAGCTTTAACACGGGAGTAAAAGAGCTATGGGAAACACAAACTTTATCCAAAATTGTCGGGGAAAGGAGGAGAAACACATCAATAGCAAGTACATAATGCGCGAGGTGTTTACAATGCTCATAACTGCTGCGGTGAGCTGAACAGGCTCCATGCTTGCCGTGCTATGGCGTCTGCTCGGGCAATCCAGGGAAAAGGGCGCGAAATGATTGTCTGCCGTTGCTTTCACAGAGGGAGGGTTGACTGACGACATTTACCAATAACCACCAGTGACAAATTTTTGGCCCCATCAGGCACTGGGAGCGCAACTCAGAATTCCAATGGGCAGCAGGGACTGCGGGAACTGTGGGATAGCTACCACAGTGCACCGCTCTGAATATCGATGCTTGCCACGGTACTATGGACGCACACCACCGAATTAATATGCTTAGTGTGGATGCATGCACTCGACTTTATACAATCTGTTCCCAAAAATAAACTTCTGTAAAATCGGAGTAATTTCATAGTGTAGACATACACATACTTCTCAAATTTTGTTTAAAATGAACACTGCAATCTTAAGCCAAACAACGTAGAAATTCACAGGCTGAGATCCAAATCCCATTAAGCAGAAGAAATATTAATATTAGTGTATTTGCCCTGGATAATTTGCATTGTTCTATTAAACAATGATTCAGTGTGAGGTACCAGAATGGCAGACCCAGAGGCTTAACTCTTATTTAAATTCATCCACCTTGCCCTCCTAATGCACTCTCACACTGAAGCATGTACTTAACATATGAGAAGTTCCAGTGGTGTGCACATGTGCTTAAAGTTAAGGACATACTGTAACTCCTCGCTTAACGTTGTACTTATGTTCCTGAAAAATGCTACTTTAAGCGAAATGATGTTAAGCAAATCCAATTTCCCCGTAAGAATTAATGTAAACGGGGGGGTTAGGTTCCAGGGAAATTTTTTTTGCCAGACAAAATATATATACACATATATATATATACACACACATATACAGACATACACAGTATAAGTTTTAAACAAACAATTTAATACTGTACAGAGCAATGATGATTGTGAAGCTTGGTTGAGGTGGTGAAGTCAGTGGGTGGAAGAGGGTGGGATATTTCCCAGGGAATGCCTTATTGCTAAATGATGAACTAGCATTCGGCTGATCCCTGTTGTTAATGTAGCCACACACTCTACAAGGCAGCACGAATGGAGGGAGGGGAGACAGCACGGCAGAGAGACACACCATGCAGGCGTGAGAGAGAGAGAGAGAGAGAGAGAGATATGCGCATTGCACCTTTAAGCATGCTGACCCCACTCCAAGTAAACTGCCTTTTTAAGTAGATCAGCAAGTTGAGACAGCAGCTGCTGCCAGCAAGCTTCCTCTGTCCTGAGCCCTGTCGTGTCCCCCCCGCCTTATGGAGATGGGGTACAGGAGCGGGGAGAGGGGATCACCCTGACATTAGCCCCCTTTCCCCCCAGCAAGCAGGAGACTCCAGGGAGCAGCTCCAAGGCAGAGGGCAGGAGCAGCACATGGCAGTGGGAGGAGGGACAGCTGAACTGCCGGCAATTGATAGCCTGCAAGGCGGCTGCCACACAGGGAATTTAGGGGAGCGGGGAGCTGATAGGGGGGCTGCCGGTCCACCCTGGTTCCAAGCCCCCCACCAGCTACCTCCAATGGGCTGCTCTTTCTGCAAGCAGTGGACAAAGCAGGCGGCTGCCAAATGATGTTATAAGGGAGCATTCTGCAACTTTAAACAAGCATGTTCTCTAATTGATCAGCAACGAAACAACAAAACAACGTTAATCGGGATGAAGTTAAGTGAGGAGTTACTGTATTTTAAGAGCTTTGCTAGGTTAGAGCCAGAGTGCTCAGCATTTTGCAGGATCACGCCCTAAAGCGGCACCTTGTTTGACACATTTGTGTAAGGAGAGGAGAGAAAAAGGAGTACGTGAGCATGGAGCCTATACTGCCTTCTCATGCCTAGAGGTGATTCCTCCAGGTTAGAGTATGAGACGTAACATGAGGGCCTAAGTCTACACAGGCCTTACAACAGAGTTTAAAACCAGGCTTAAGCTCAGATATAGACAGACCGGATTCTAACCTTTTAGCCAACAGTATAGATGGGACCAAACTTTACCAGTTTCTGAATTGTCCTTGCCCTCCCCAACCTTGTCTCACCCCTCCCCTCCGATCTCTCTCTCTCCTGCCCCGGTTCTCCACACAGTGGCAGAGCAGGTGATCAGGTGAATGGGCTAGGGCAGAGAGGGACATGGTGAGTTTGGGAGAGTACCATCATTTTCCCTCAAACAAATTTGACCCCAGGTGAGAAAAGGAATTACCAGTAAGTAATTTCCCCTTAGAATACCAAGATATATTTGTATTTGTACCTTAATAGCGCCATAAAAAAAAAAAAAAAAATCTATCTAGGAGGGGTGAGGAAAGGGAGGCAGATGCTCTGTTTTACTTTCTCTTATTTATTGAGCTGCTGAAAAACTCATTATGTGAAAATGAACGAGAATATGCCCTTGAACTATTAAAAACAGTGCCCTTTAGAACTGAAGACAGGTACTAGTTGTGTGATGCAGTAAATTCAAACAGCCAGCCATTTAAGACTCAAGTTTTATACCAGTTTCATTACACAAGAGATAAAACAGGTGTTCATGAAATAAGATTTATACCACTAGTTGCAGTTTTGTGACAATCTGTTTTGCTGAATGGTCCAATGTTGTCATTTAATAAGCGGAGTTTTGCTCGTATTTGAAAACAATACACTGTCAGTTGCTTTAGATTCAGAAGTCCGATTCGGGTATTCTTGGTCCATTCTGTTTCCTGTTTTAAAAAAAAAAAAAAAAAAAAAAAGTTAAGTTCTTTGTTAGTGCAAGTAATATTTTTTTATTACAAAAAACAGATTTCTATTAAGAGTTTTCTTCAATACAATCAACTTAAAAATCACAAGTTTCCATTCAAAAGCTTCACAATATTATTTTGCATAACTAACATTTATACAGTATGCAAAAAGTAGTGTAACAGTATGAGCTTCTTATTGCAGTGCATTTTAAATGCAAATTTTATTAATAGAGGCGTTCTGCTTCAATGAAACAAAATCTGGTTATTTACGCTCCCCATCTACCACCGACATGATTATTTATTTTGTGAATGCACGTAGGTTAATGTAAAATTTCACTGTACACGAAACACCCTTAGAATCTCTGAAAGTCTGCAGTATTTTTGTGCCAATTCCTGCAGTTAAAGGTGATTTGGCAGAAGGAGGAGGAGTTGGAAAAACAACAAAACAAAAATATCGTCAAAAACAAATCTGCTGCTTTAAAATACCAGCTTCTAGGCTAGGATGCTCAGAACCATTATCTAGGGATTAAAGACAAATGCAAGTATGGTGTTCAAGCTTTGCATCAACCCTCCACTCTTGACACTAGAGCCACTGGCCCCAGACAGCAAGAACTGAATCAGACGAAGTTCTGTCCAGTGAAGATCATGACTTTCAATTTATCTCTTTGCCTACTCACAAGAATGGAGCTAGCAGGGAGAACTGTAGGGCAACGCTAAATGCATTTTTATGTCCACAGTCCTAACAAAGCTAGCAGTTTGCCTTTTTCAGTGCTGGGTAGCTCAGTTAAGAACTTGATTAATTCTTACTGTCAAAGCTAAAAGCTATGACATGAGGGTCTGAGTTCTGTCTCATCTGTATGTCAGCTAGAGGAAGAGGAGTATGTTAAAAGTGTGTCAGAAAACTCAATTTTTCTGGGAAAGGAGGGAGGTGCATTAACCTTGACATTGCCTTTTTTTTTTTAAAAAATGCTCAGCTAAGCTTAACTGAAATGAAACAGGTAAGTAGTTGGAAAGCCAGAGGCAGGGCCGTCCCTAGAGGGGTGCAGGGCCCAGGGCAAATCAGCATGTCTGGGGCCACCATTAACATTTTTTATACAGATGTAATCTAGTTACAGTGAACTTCAAGGGCAGCTGCTGGCCGCAGGTTAAATATTGATAGCGCCCAGCTGTATAATTATAATGTTATAAAAAAGAACTACAATTTAATTATAATGAAGTTCATATAATTAAAACAAAAAACAAAACAAAAAACACACACCACATCTCACTGATCATGATCAGTGTCATGCCACTTACATTCTGAAATCCACCTTCCCTGACTTCCTCGCAGCAAACTCACTGCCCAGATGCATATGGTCTTGCTACCCTCAGTGGATTTTTTTTTTAAAAATATAATTACGCATTCGCAACACTGAGAGCTCATGTCTCGGGAACTGGGTGGCTCTTGGAGGGCCTATATATGCCCTGGTGCTGGGGGACCCCAGGACGCTCTAGCATGGAGGAGGGGCTCTAAGATCTGTTTTCTCTGGGGGCTGGGAGGGGAGGTGGAAAAGCAGATGGATGGAGGACCCCAGTCCTGGTTGGTGGTGGAGAGAGCAGAGTTGTGGGACCCCAGGTCCTGGTACTGCAGGGAGGGGAACCCCAAGGCTGGAGAGATGAAAGGCAAGGAGGACCCTGAGGCAGGGGAGTGATAAAGGCTGGCCCTGGCCTGGAGGTGGAACTGGAGGACCCCACACAGTGCTGGGAGAGGGGAGAAAGGGCGGTGGAAGGGGGAAGTGTGGGGCACTGGGGGGACACCTGTGCTTGGTGATAGACGATGGAGACTACTGGCTAGCACTCACCTGTGCTAGGGAACCCCCTGTGCTGGTGGAGGGTCCCGCTGGAAAAGGGAAGGGTCAGGGTCAGCCTGCCCAGGCACTAGTGGTGGGGGGCGCTAGGACCCTGTGGCAGCAGGTGACACCGGGAGCCGGCGGAGCGGGCTGAGGCCGGGTCACTTGCTGCTGCCGCAGAGACTGAGCCCAGGGGGCTGCAGGAAAGAAAAAGAAACAAACGCCTCGGCCGGTGAGTGCGGGGCATGGGCCTGACCCCTGCTGCCAGCACCAGGCCCCCCTCACATTCCCCTGAAGCACGCGGTCCGGGGCAGTTGCCCTGGTCTGCCCTGTGGATGGGATGGCTCTGGCCAGAGGCAGATAATTTCATAAATGAAAAAAATGGGTCAGTCTATGTCTTTAAAACAAAAAATCCTCATTTGTGGGCAGTTTATTCACCCCAAAGCCAGCCTGTCTAGACTGGGAATTTGCCCTGCTTATAGCCACTGGTAGTCCAAACAAAAGTAGAACTACACTAGTAACTTGGAGTACACCATATGTTTGCAAAACTTTTATAGGTAGAGACCTACCAAATTCATGGCCATGAAAAACTCATCACGGACCATGAAATATGGTCTCTCCCTGTGAAATCTGGTCTTTTGTGTGCTTTTACCTTATACTATACAGATTTAACAGAAGACACCAGTGTTTCTCAAATTGGTGGTCCTAACCAAAAAAAGGAGTGGGGAGGGGGGTCACAAGGCTATTTTAGGGGGGTCGCGGTATTGCCACCCTTACTTCTGCACTGCTGCCTTCAGAGCTGGGTGGCTGGAGGGCAGCGGCTACTGACTGAGGGCCCAGCTCTGCAGGCAGGAGTGCAGAAGTAAGGGTGGCAATATCATACCATGCCATCCTAACTTCTGTGCTCTGCTGGTGGTGGCACTTCCTTCAGAGCTGGGCAGCTGGAGAGCAGCGGCTGCTGGCCAGGAGCCCAGCTCTGAAGGAAGTGCCACCACCAGCAGAGCGCAGAAGTAAGGGTAGCAGTACCACAACCCATTCCCCCCCACCGTCTCCCTCCTCCCCACACACAATAACCTTGCGATCCCCCCACAACTCCTTTTTGGGTCAGGACCCTTATAATTACAACACCATGACATTTCAGATTTAAATAGCTGAAATCATGAAATTTACAATTTTTAAAATCCTATGGCCATGAAATTGACCAAAATGGACTGTGAATTTGGTAGGGCCCTATCTACAGGCCATGATTTGAACTGGCACAGCTCACCTTACTTGATAATGCACAAATCAGGTCTTGTAGCAGTTTTGCACCTGTCTACATTAAGGCTTTGATTTGAACCAGCATAGCTACTCCAGTAACTGGACACAAGTGGCTGAAATTCCCAGTACAAACAAGACCTGAGATAGAGAGAAAAATCTCAGAGGTCCTAGGTAAAATTTTCAAAAGTGCCTAAGTGACTTAAGAGTCTGATTTTCAGAAGTGACGAAGGTGTTAGAAGCCCAAATCACTTTTGAAAATGGGACTCCTAAGTCACTTAAGGGCTTTGGAAAACTTTACATCCATTCAATTAATAACACATAATACATTTGAGCCCAGATTAGATTAACTTCCCTTCAGTTAACCAACAAGCTTCTTTTCTGCTGGAAAAAAGGTCAATATTACAACTTTGCCCTCCATTTCTTTCTACCATTTTGCCAAAAAAAGGAGAGATAAGAAGAATGCTTACATGTCGTTCATTTGTTGATTTCTCCCAGTAGCGCACAAGATATTGTAAATTATCTTCTTTTACATTGGGCGAGAAGTTAAGGAAAAGTGAATCAGGCGTTGAATCCACATTTACTATAACAGGAGGCCCTATAGTAGCTGAAAATGAACAAAAAATAGATGAACATTTGGAATTCAAAAAAATGAGCACAGTTCCTACTAGTTTTGATCTGATACATAATAAGAAACTACTGAATACAACAGCCTGTTATCTGGAAGAGATATAAAGTTTTCAAATACATTTACTCCTTAATTATTTCAAATAGCTTCATAGCACTAAATATAGGCTGTGTCATGAATATAGAGGAAAGGGTTAAGCAGTTCAAATAACCTAGTTAGCACCTGACCAGAAGGACCAATGAGAAAAGAAGATCCTTTCAAATATGGGGGGAAGGATTTGTTTGTTTGTTCTCATTTGTTGTTCCCTCTCTGGATGGGGGGAGAAGTCAACCAGGTACAACATCTCCTGAAAATATACCTGGAATAATCCATCTAAAACCACAGAGATTGTAAGTAGGGCAAGGAAATGCGTTAGGTTATCTTTTGTTTTGGCTTGTGACTTTTCCTATGCTACAGAGGTAGTTTTATTCCTGTTTTTGTAACTGTGAAGCTGAGCCCAGAGGGGAATCGTCTGTGTTTTAAATCTTTTTATTACCCTGTAAAGTACCTTCCATCCTGATTTTGCAGGTGTGATTCTTATTTTTTTCTTTATAAATAAAATTCTTCTTTTAAGAACCTGACAGATTTTAGTGTCCTGAAGAGAAAGGGTCTGATCGGTGCTCACATTGCTAAGGCAATTGGTTAGTATATTATTCTCAAGCCTCCCCAGGAAGGGGGGTGAAGGGGTTTGGGGGGGGTTCAGTTTCAATTCACAGCCAGCTGCATCTGTGAAGTGCTCCTGTATTTCAATCACGGCACTACTGTTATATGCTGCAGTTGCTAAGAAGAGAAAAAGAAAGCAAAAGATTCTAGAGGAAGAAGGATGAGAAGACTGATGCAAGCAAGGAGGAGAAGTTAGATGCATGCAACATGGTGGAAGGAGAACCAAGGCCTTGTCTACTGCTAGAGATCTATCCTGGTTCTAGCCACAGGTATAGCTGCATTGGTACCACCTCTGGTATAGACAGGCAAAGCTGCTATTTGCACTACCGCTGGTTACCTTTATTTCAAGCAAGGCTAGGCCCCACCAGTGTGAATAGCAGCTATGCCTGCCTACATTAGGAGTTTGCACTGCTCCAGCTACATCAGTGACTAGTCTCCAATAGCTGGGATTGGAGCACACTCTCAGTGTAGCCAAGGCTTAAAGAAGAGAAAAAGAAGTGGATCTTATTGTGACGTTGCACTCCTTATGATTTTATGAAAATATTCTAAGGAGTGTGAATATAATGTAACTGGAATATCCTTCATGCAAAAGGTCTCTTGTAAGGTATCATTACAAAGCTCAATCTTTTGAGTGTGGTCATCCAGTTTGTATAAATGTATAATTCTTGTATCTGAAACTAGAAATATAAAATATCACTCTGAGGTCCTATGTATTTATTGGCCATTAATGGTGGTTTAGAATCTTGATGGTTCCCATCAATTAGAACAATTGACTGTAGATGGCTGTGTTTACTTGCAAGCCTTCCTGTGAGTGAGGCCGGGAAGAATGAAGGTTTGGGTCTCACAGGACATGTGACCATGTCACCTGGTACTGGAATCCATCTTAAACCGGGTGTTTTTCCATTTAGAAGTAGGGGTGGGAACCCAAAGAGACAAAAGATTCCTGCCTTGTGCCAAAGGTATATATGGGGGTTGGAACAGAACAAAGGGGGCTGCAGTCTTGAGAAACCTGCTAGCTACCACCACCTGAGCTGGAACAAGGACTATACCCAGGAAAGGATTGGGCCCAGACTAGAAAGGAGTCTAGTCTGTGAAAGAAGCTTATTGGAGCGTCTCCAGGGTGAGGTTTCATCTGTAATCAGTTTCTTACTGTATTAGGCTTAGACTTGGGTGTTTTTGTTTTATTTTGCTTGGTAACTTACTTTGTTCTGTCTGTTATTACTTGGAACCACTTAAATCCTACATTTTATATTTAATAAAATCACTTTTTACTTATTAATTAACCCAGAGCAAGTAATTAATACCTGGGGGAGCAAACAGCTGTGCATCTCTCTCTATCAGTGTTATAGAGGGCGAACAATTTATGAGTTTACCCCGTATAAGCTTTATACAGAGTAAAATGGATTTATTTGGAGTTTGGATCCCATTGGAAACTGGGTGTCTCGGTGCTAGAGACAGGAGCACTTCTTAAGCTGTTTTCAGTTAAGTCTGCAGCTTGTGGGGGACATGGTTCAGAGCGGAGTCTGTATTTGTAGCAGGCTAGCGTGTCTGGCTCAAAAAGACAGGGTACTGAAGTCCCAAGCTGCCAGGCTCAGAGGTAGTCTCAGCCCATCAGGTCGCAGTCCCAAGGGGGTCCCTGTGACCGAACCCACCACACTTATGTTCATATGTTATATTTTAATTTTCCCATTGAACATTTTGTTGGTCACCAAAGTTTGGAAGTGAACTGCTAAAATGTACCTTCCAGTATAAATACAAGACTACCAAGCAATTAGTTTATCCCTAATTATTGTTCTAGCATGGCATAAAGAAAAAAGGGTGAGTTGCCCTGGACTCTTAATTTGTAGGACAGTGCCTAATACACTGGGGTTCTGAGCTCTACATGCTGCCATTTTACAAATATATAAGAAACAAATGTTAAAAGACCAGAAAAAAAGTCAGAAAGCCTAGCCGAACACAAGAGAAAACTGATCCTTTCCTGTAACCTCTGCTTATTATTTTAACTTATAATGGCAGGACATGTTTATATTCATTATGTTGCAATGTCATCCATGCTACGGTAACAGACAAACAAAAATAATAAACTTTACCCTGCTTCATTCAAATGGTTCTGCTCTGCTCAAAATTATTGTGGAGAAAGTTGGCCCTCTTGTTAATACATTGGATCATGAACTTTTTAGTTTCTTCTTGCCTCATGCCCTACTACAGTTGCAACTGCTGTCTCTCCTTTAATGTGTCCTCTCTTCTGTACATTTTGCTTGTAAGTTTCCCTTGGCAGATAACTCTCCCCCCCGTACATTCTCTCTCTCACCGCTCAAAGTGAGCAACATGATCTGGGGTGTGATCTACATGGCTGATTTGAATGCCATAGGGAAAAATACACACAAGCTAGAAGGCTAACATCTGAGTTTACAGGAACTGATTTTAGGATTGGCTACATGAGGTGCCACATGAGAAGGCAGAGAAGGCTGCTGGCTTTCAAGGGGCCAATTGAAACTTCCCAGAACACTGGATACACAAGCGGGGAAGGGGTAGGTGTGGAATCATGCAGTTTTCCTCCACCCCCTCATCCCCTTTCGCTTTGCGCTCCCTTTAAGCTAGCCGGATGCCCCCATCCACAGGATCCATTCCCCAGGTTGGGAAATAAGAGGGAATAATGAATGAATCTCTTCTGCTCTAAACATTATTTCAGACTTAACTTTTGAACAAAGAAAACCCACAACTGAATCTCCTTCTAGCCCAGAAACCAACCATAACAAGGGAACTCGCGGATACTTCTAAAAGTTAACATTAAATGTGTTCACACAGCCACCACATTAACCTCTATTTTGTCAGTACGGTATACTCCCCGTTATCTGAATAGCACAGGGGACACTGATTTTGTTTGGATAATTGAAAGGGCAGGAGCCATGGGCAGGGGCTCGTCCTCCTCCTCACAGCCCTGGCTGGGGATGTCTGCTCGATTATCTGAACCTCTGCCGTGCCCCCCAGCATGCGATACAGGCTGCAGAGGTCAGGCATCGCATGCTGGGGGACAAGAAAGGGATTCGGATAACGTGGAAGTTCAGCTAATAGGGTTTTGGATAAACGGGAGTATACTGTATTAGTACTCCCTGTATATCCCTGACCCCTTTATACTACAGAACTAGGGCATAAGGTAGGTACTTTTGAAATTGTGTGTGTTTGGTGCTAAAATGTGTTTAGGAGTTATCACAAAATTAGGTGCGCAGAAAAGCCCGAAATTTACAGGAAAATAAAAAAGTTAAGTTATTGCTCTCCTGGGCTCTGTTCAATCTAGGAAAATTAGTTGTCATTAACAGATTCCCCCATCAACTGGTGCTGAAAAGAGCTCAGTTGCTAAGTGTAGACGAGAAACTTGTTTTAATATCATTACAGAAAAGTTGACAGATACCAGTTTCTACTAGGTCTCTGTATCTATACCACTGGCATAGCAATATAAACTGAAATAGACTTTAAAAACAGATTCCTAACACAGCAGGTCCCATCACCTCTCATGAGTCTTCTCATATATTATACAAAGTGAAGAAAACTAAGACACAATATAATAACAATTACAAGAAATATTTTCTGTAAGGGGGTGAGAGGTTGAGATCATAAAAGACTTACTGTTTTGGTCTGCAAAAAATTTATTTGTTTCCACCCAGTCAGATTTCACTTGTCCTAGTTCAGCCCTAACACGTAAAGTAATTGTCCAAAAGCTTTTGATCTCTGGATGTGTGAAATTACATTCAGTCTTCGTAATGTTTGTGCAGTTAATTTCTTCCCAGTCATAGGCTATTCTGCAATACAAAATGAAGGAAGAATAAGTCAGTGGAATCACCTCGCTGCTGCATCTAGCACAACTGATTGATATTTCAGAGAGAGTTTTCTTTCTTTACAGTTTCTAAAGAATCAACATTTGATATAAAAGTACAACTTTCAAGCAGTTTTACTCTATAACCATGCAACGCCTTCTCTCAAAGCATCTGAAACTCTTTTCAAAATGTAACCAATTAAAAATTTAATGAGACAGGGGACATTCTGTAAGCCCAGAGGCTGAATACCTTCAACTATTACAGGCCAGTAAGCCTGACTTCAGTACCGGGCAAACTGTCATGGGATCACTAATTGCTTAAAAGACAGGAAACAAAGGGTAGGGATAAATGGTCAGTTTTCAGAATGGAGAGAGGTAAATAGTGGTGTCCCCCAGGGATCTGTACTGGGACTGGTCATATTCAACATATTCATACATGATCTGGAAAAAGGGGTAAACAGCGAGGTGGCAAAATTTGCAGATGATAAAAACTACTCAAGGTAGTTAAGTCCCAGGCAGACTGTGAAGAGCTACAAAAGTATCTCTCAAAACTGAGTGACTAGCCAACAAAGTGGCAGATGAAATTCAATGTTGATAAATGCAAAGTAAGGCACATTGGCAAACAATCCCAAATATAAAATGATGGGAGTCTAAATTAGCTGTTACCACTCAAGAAAGAGACCTTGGAGTCACTGTGGATAGTTCTCTGAAAACATCCACTCAAATGTGCAGCAGCAGTCAAAAAAGCAAACAGAATGTTGGGAAACATTAAGAAAAGAATAGATAATAAGACAGAAAATATCATATTGCCTCTATATAAATCCTGGTACGCCCAGATCTTGAATACTCCGTGCAGGTGTGGTCACCCCATATCAAAAAAGATATATTGGAATTGGAAAAGGGCAACAAAAATGATTAGGGATATGGAACAGCTTCCATATGAGGAGAGATGAATAACATTGACTTTTCAGCTTGGAAGAGAGACAACTAAGGGGGGATATGATAGAGGTCTATAAAATCATGACTGGTATGGAGAAAGTAAATAAGGAAGTGTTATTTACTCCTTCTCATAACACAAGAACTAGGGATCACCAAATGAAATTAATAGGCAGAAGATTTAAAACAAAGAAAAGGAAGTATTTTTTTCATAAAACGCACAGTCAGTCCGTGGAACTCCTTGCCAGAGAATGTTGTGAAGGCCAAGACTGTAACAGGGTTCAAAAAAAGAACTAGATAAATTCATGGAGGATAGGTCCATCAATTGCGATTAGCCAGGATGGACAGGGATGGTGTCCCTTTGCCTCTGTTTGCCAGAAACTGGGAATGGATCACTTGATGATTACCTGTTCTGTTCATTCCCTCTGGGACACCTGACATTCGACAGTGGCCAAAGACAGGATACTGGGCTAGATGGGAATGAACAGAACAGGTAATCATTGAGTGATCCATCATGTCACCCATTCCTTGACCTATCCTCCATGAATTTATCTAGTTCTTTTTTAAACCCTGTTCTAGTCTTGGCCTTCACAACATCCTCCGACAAAGTTCCACAGGTTGACTGCGTTGTACGAAGAAATACTTCCTTTTGTTTGTTTTAAACCTGCTGCCTATTAATTTCACTTGGTGACCCCCTAGTTCTTGTGTAAGTGAAGGGGTAAGTAACATTTCCTTATTTACTTTCTCCACACCAGTCATGACTTTATAGACCTCTATCATATCCCCCCTTAGTCGTCTCTTTTCCAAGCTGAAAAGTCACAGTCTTATTAATCTCTCCTCATATGGAAGCTGTTCCATACCCCTAATCATTTTTGTTGCCCCTTTCTGTACCTTTTCCAATTCCAATATATATTTTTTGAGATGGGGCAACCACAGCTGCACACAGTATTCAAGATGTGAGCGTACCATGGATTTATATAGAGGCAATATGATATTTTCTGTCTTATTATCTATACTGATGTTTAAAATAAGAACGTCCTGAGTATAAATAACCATGGGATTCAAGAAGAATATTAGCAAAGCTGGTTTGGAACAACAGTGAAAAAAAATTGGGAAAAAGGAAGCATTTCATTCTTTTCCTTGTTTAGTGGAAATAATTTAGTCCAAGAACTTTGCTTTCCCTATTGTTTTCACATGTACCTGAAAACCTTTCTATTAAAAACCTCACTTTGTACATATAAGCTTATACTTTTCTATTAGAATGAAACCAATTTAGTATACTGCAACTATTTACTTACGTACTATACTGGACCGTATATAACACTGAGCCATTGTCCACTTTAACAGGAGCCCATCTCAATAAATTCTGATAATTATATGAGTAAATTGTCACATTCTGTGGTGCTGGTAACTGGAGAGGAGATTCTAAAATAGAGAGAGAGAAAAACATCAAAACAGTAAATAAAACTTTCAATACACAGTAACTACAGATTTGAAATCACCTTTCCTCGTCTCCAAAATTCATGGAGACGTATTTATATAGCTTTGCCACAAACTTGCCCCTTTTTCCCCCCAACTACTGTAGAACAAGAGACCTCCCCACCCTCTGTTTCCAAGTCAAGTTTTTTTTGATGTGCTTGCAGATGATAATGCTTGAAAACATCATGAAAACATTTTGCATGTATACAAATGGAGGACACTTCTGAGGAGTTTGGCCTTTTTACAGTCAAGATGGTAAGAGTAACATCTTCTTAGAATTTGTTAATGTTGAGGACACTTTGCTTTGAAGCAGAGCTGAATCTTGAAAGGGGCCAAATGTAGGCCTACCTGAACATAAGTAACTGGCCTCATTTCTTAGTGGGCATGATGGGGAAGGTGCATGGAAGATTGAGTTGTAAATAGCAATTTAACAAGCAGTATGCTGGAGTCAGGATGCTGTGGTAGCTAAGATAAGTAGGAACACCCAGTGCTTGGAACAATGGACAAGAGAAACCTGCAATGTAAAGATCAGGTTATATATGAAGGGAGCATGCTGTACAGGGATGTCACAAAGTAACCAAACCAATCCCAAAATGTGTGATGCAATTTACAATCAATGCAATGCAATGTGTAAATGTATATAAAAAGAAGAGGTTTTCTGTGTAAATTTGGATGTGTGGTACACCCTATATCTACCCTGTACGCTTGAGTCTGATCAACTGAGCATAGCTTGGCTATATGCCAAATTAAGATAGCTGAGTGAGGAAATCTGGAGTTGAACTGAGTTTTTTGGGAAGCCAAGTGGAAAGAGGTCTCAGAGGGAATCTCAACTTAGTGGTACCGTGACTCAGATTCATTCATCTGGAGCAGGTAATGTATAGCTGATTATATGCGTAGGTTTATTATCTAGGATTGCAGCCCCCCAGTTTAGCAATGGTGTTGGAAGGGTTTAAATTTGAGGAGGTTTCCAGGGCACTGGAGGAATGGGTTAGATCTAAAGGATCTTTCTATGGACTCCATAGGGAAGTGATAGGGGGAGACTAGAACCAGATGGAAAAGGAACTCCAGTAAATAGTATTAGACAAAAAATAAGACCCATGGAGAGAACAGTAATTGTAGCTAAAGAATGAGTGCAAAAAGCACAACGATAAGATCAGAGCTTTGGAGAGAAATCTGCTGAGAAATGTGTCACTTTGGGAGATAAGTGAATTAAGGAAAGAGTTAGGAGTTAAATGATGCACTTATGCATATGTTAAAAACATTAGAGTTCTGAAGGGATTAAGCAGGTTGGTATAATAAAAATATTGGATGTAATATTAAATAAGAAGGAAAAAATGCTTGTTTGATAATAAAACCTGGTTATGGCAGTACAGCTCAGTGCAGTCTTGCTTGGTGGAACCCAGGTAGTCAAACATATTGTGCAACAGGAGCTAAGGTGGTAACAATTACCATCAATATGCTTTTGTCCCCAGAATCCTTTACAGCCATTCTGAAGGAAAATGGGCCCTTTTCACAAAGGAAAGTCCCTAAATAATAGGGTGACCAGACAGCAAGTGTGAAAAATCGGGACGGGGGTGGGGGGTAATAGGAGCCTATATAAGAAAAAGACCCCAAAATTGGGACTGTCCCTATAAAATCAGGACATCTGGTCACCCTAGTAAATAATCAGTTGTAAATTACTGCTGTAGGCAGAGAGACAATCTGATCTGAATCATTGGACTATGGACAATTGTAGTCAAAATGATTAAAAAGAAATGAGTTCCCATTTGAACTTGGCTGCCTCCAAATGTACAAGTTGGGAATGTAATCTGGGTACATTTGTAGTAAAAAAACAAACAAACAAAACAAAACTAGAGCAACTCAAGGAGTGTTGAGAAATATTTATAAGAAATTAAATACATTTGTCTAATTATGCAAGGTTTTAAACACACACTCTTGGCTTGTAAACCCCCATTTTGTGTGTTGAAAAATAATTGGCATTTTAAAAGATTCCACTAAAAATCCATTTGAATCTTGTGTTCAGAGTTGCAAAACTGACCCTTTGAGCAGCTGCCAATGTTTCCTGGCAGTCTTTGCTAAATTCATTCTTTTAGCCCTCAAGCCAAACACAAGTAGCTCATGTTATCTGGCTTTGTTACCTCAATGTTTTTATGAAATTCAACATCTTTTTAAATAAGGACTAGTCACTAGAGGACGTGGTTGTGGCTATGGCAGAGATGACAAGAACCAGACTCTGGATCCCTTTGTAGTAATGAAATAGCAGCTGAAAGAGCTGCAGGACAAGAATGAAAAATTAGTGTGTGCCTCTGGAGTAACAGCAAGATGAGGTGGTGGTCATAAGAGTAGCAATGTTAGGGACACTGAGCCTTAAGGTGGCTCTGAGTAATTAGACAATTACTTTGATAGGGATACATGGAAACTCTTTAAGCCCCAAAAGAGTTATACTTCATGTGAAAATTAATATGGCTAACATGACAGTCCAGAGAAGAGCAACAGAAATTATTAAAGGTCTAGAAAACATGACTATGAGAGAAGATTGAAAAAATTGGGTTTGTTTAGTCTGGAAAAGAAGATTGGGGGGGGGGGATGGGCCATAAGATTTCAAGTACATAAAAGGTTGTTACAAGGAGGAGGGAGAAGAATTCTTCTTAATCTCTGAGGACAGGACAAGAAGCAATGGGCTTACATTGCCGCAAGGGAGGTTTAGGTTGGACATTAGGAAAAACTTCCTAACTCTCAGGGTGGTTAATCACTGGAATAAATCGCCTAAGGAGGTTGTGGAATCTCCATCATGGTCTAGTTAATACTTAGTCCTACCATGAGTGCAGGCAACTGGACTAGATGACCTCTCGAGGTCCCTTCCAGTCCTATGATTCTATGTGTACTATGCACCAATGCCCTTACATCTCTATTACCCACTATTATTGTTTTCTGCACTATTGCCTAATACTAGATACAAGTTACAGTTTGCAATAAATCCAATATCCTGAAGGAAGGATTTGGGAGAGGAAACTATAGGGGAAAAAATTTCACCTATAATAAAAATAAAGTGATTTAACTGACAGCACCACTCTGATACACAGGTCACCCAACACTTCCAGTTATAGAACCCTGAACCAGTTGTTTATAACTCTGCCAAACTTTAATTGTTTGGGCTGAAATTTTCCATGCTGGGTGTCTAGGTCAAGCTGAATCTGTTGGAAAGTTTCAGGCAAAATGGTTCAGCCATTTTCAAAAACAAGTTAGGAAAAATTCATGCAGCCATTTTATTGAGAAGCTCGAGTACCTCCCATGCTTTGGAGCAGAGGAACTTGAAATTTGACAGGTGATGTCCTTTTGCCATTCTCATGAAAAAAATGCCCAAATTAAGCTAAATTACGACCCTTTGAACCATCTCAGTGTCCACATGCTCAGCAGACCTATTAGAGTTCTGGAGCTAAAAATCACAGAATCATAGGACTGGAATGGACCTCGAGAGGTCAGTCCCCTGCACTCATGGCAGAACTAAATATTATCTAGACCATTCCTGACAGGTGTTTGTCTAACCTGCTTTTAAAAATCTCCAAGGATGGAGATTCCACAATCCCCCAAGGCAATATATTCCAATGCTTAACAATTTGTTTTTTCAGTTTGCTTTTTTTTAAAAAACTGGATGTTACACGAAAGAAAAATAACCACCACCCTAACATTAAAAGAACATTAAGGTTGCAAACTCAAGCATTCAAAAGTTAGGAAATGGCAGACATATGGTTGCTTGTGCAACCCCTTGTGCATTTACAATACAGTATTTAATTATATGATCACATTTTCCAAAGGACTCTGCCTCAGTCAGTGCCCATGGACCAGGCAGATCACCCTCATTCAGTGCACAAGATAGACCTGCTCAATGGATGAATCAGGGTTGTGTAGTGAAGGTGGCTATTATCTGTAGGACCCCTTCTTCATTTGCTGCAGAAGTTGAAAGTGTGATAAATGAGGCAGGGGATTGGGAGGAGGAGAAAGGGCAGTTTCATGGTTAAGGCAGTTGAATGGTGCTCTGGAGAACAGGATTCTGTCCCTGCCTCTGAGTTCCCGAGTGATGCTGGGCAAGTCACTTCATCTAAACTTTTCACAGGTGGTCACTAATTGTGTGTTCCTCCTTTTCTGGGTGCCCAACTTGAGACTAGGGTCTGAGCTGCCAAAGTGCTGAGCACTCACAGCTGCAAACTGAAGTCAGTGGGTGAAGTGCTTTGGACACTAAGTACTCTGAAAAAATCAGGTCCCAGGCATCTCAAATTGGGCACCCAAAATTAATGCATAATTTTCATCTTAACCTCTCTCTCAGTTCCCATCTGTAAATTGGAGATAATACCTCCTCTCACCTCACAGCAGTATTGTGCAAATAACTTAATTTATCTTTGTAAAGCACTCAATGAATGCCACAGAAGAACCATAAGGAAATCAATAATTCAGAGTAGGGTTTGAATAAAGTGTAGTACATATGGCATGGGGCCACACTGGAACAGTAAGAAGAGAATAACAGGCTCCTTAAGTGGGCACCATCTATCCAGTGCACTGAATGAGGCAAGGTCCTGTGGGGAAAAAGTGTGATAATGTAATTAAAGACTGTATCATAATGCATATGCACAAAAGGGCCAAATTAAGGTTGCATAGGTAACCTTAATTCTGGCATTTCCTAACTTTTATGCTCTTGATTTTGTTCTTTACACTATTTAAGCACGTTGACATCTTCTGATGAAAAACATCATATAATAAAATAAAATAACTGGCTCCTATATAGCACTTTTCAGCTGTAGATCCAATAGATGTTATTTCATGGAGGATAGGTCCATCAATGGCTACTAGCCAAGATGGTCATGGATACAACACCATGCTCTGGATGTCCCTAAACCTCTGATTGCGAGATGCAGGGACTGGACGACAGGGGATGGATCACTTGATGATTG